TGTAACATGCCAAACAGTAAATAACAGGATCCATTAACAATGTTCCCTCAAGTACATAAAAAGAGCAGCCAGAGAAAACACAGCCAGATAGGGAGGTCAGGAGGCAAAAAGCTCTCTAACTTAATAGCTCAATTTTAAGTGTTGAACATTTGTAGAAGTGGTAACAACAGTTGCAGGTTACATAGATATTGACCCATTAAAATCAGTTAACATGCTGTTAGGTCAGTAATTACAAACCTTTGCTGTGCAGCCAAACCTTGTTCAAAGCCACAGAACTTTAATCTAGTGGGGATTCCAGTTTCTCTGATTTTAGCCTGTATAACTGTGTATCCGAACAGTTGAGCCATAAAAAATGTTTGAATACTTCACTCAATGTAAAAACTCATCTTCAATAAAGCTGGAACAAGCTGATACTGAATGAATATACTGTCTGACAGAGTAGAATAAAATTATTCTAACAACTTCAAAGCTACTTATTGGGAAACAAATGGGCAAGTTTGAATGATAATTAGTTAAAACTGCAATGAACAGACAGAACCATCAAGCTCAGAGGGCTGGATAATTAAGTAAGCTAAGTAAGATAATGTTCTGCTATAATTTAATTCATATCCAAGTATTCCAAAATGAAAATGGCTAAAAACAAACAGTGTGTGCTTTCCCTGGTGCTGAAACAGCACATTGCCCGTGCATGGGTCAGTAGCTTGCATGATTACTCCACAAGTAGCTCAGGGTCAAAGGTGCTGTTACATCTATAACGTAATCAGTGGAAGCACCATAATTTATTATGATTAATGTGACAGACAGGACTGTCACAGTCCGCATTTTTTACATATATTAATTTTCATGTTAACATGTTACCTACAGTCAGAGTCACAGATACCCTAATTGCACTGCAAAAGTTTAAAGGAATGGTCCAACATTTTGGGATTTTTTTTTTTTTCAAAATGGCAAACTATTCATAGGCATGTTTAAATGCCTATGGATAACTATAAATAGTGTATAATCACCTAAAAATAAGAATTGTTGTGATTTTGTTACCTTAGAATAAGCTGTTTTGTTGCCATGTTTCTACAGTAGCCCAGAATGGACAAATCAAACACTGTCTCTGCTAGATACCACTAAATCCCACACATCTGAAAGTCAGATAACAATAAGGTGATGAAGCGAAGCATGATGACCAATTTAATCACAATGTGACAATTACAATGTCAATACAAATGAACTTGTTACCCACCCTCTATAAAATCAAACCACCTCCTTCCTTCCAGAACTACAGTACTTAGTATTTAGCACTGTATCTTGTTAGCGGGAAAGCTAGCCACCAAGAAAATCCAGGCTGGATACTGTGCAAGCTCTCGGTTTATTGGTTGTAAATTTGTAAGCTTCCTTGAACTGCCTTCTTGTTTTCTATTTCCTCATGTTGAATACACAACATGTAAAGAACACAGCTAGGCTAGCAGTTTCCTCTTGCTTCCTAAGTGCACATTCAGAGCCAAAGAACAGTTCCCGCATGGTAACTAGGCTGATGAATGGCAAACAATGCACAAAAGACAGATGTGAGGAGTAGAGGTCTGGCCCTGATCCAAAACAGAACACTTACCCCAACCTGAGATGCATAAATTAATTTAGAAGAAATACCTGATGACAGTCAGACTTAACCTGAATATGCCAGATGATGTGTTACACAGAACCATCTTGGAATCTGTTGTTGGAAACAGTTTGGAAAAGGGCAAAATAAATACTGATTGATTGGATTGATTGGAGGAACCATCTATCACCATCCATCATAGGTGACCTCCGACCATCCAGATCAACAAACCCTATAGCGTAGTCAATAATGGAGCCAGTTTGGAGAGGAGTATCTCTGCTTACCTCTTTAGCAGCCGCCATTGTTTTTTTCCAGTAGCATTAAAACACGCCCGTAGTTCATGTCATAGCTGCCAGTAGTTCTTCAAAGGATTCCTCAAGGACACAAGCACAAATCTGGCACGATGGATTCTCATGTTATTTTGTGATCTCAAGACTAGGAAGCTGCCTAGCAAGGCAGAGTAGACTTAAGTCAAAAACACATTTCTCTCAGATCAGATCCATGGCACCTTTAGTGCAAAGTACAGCCAGAATGGACTTCCCATTGAGTTTCAGGCTGTACTGGTTGTTAGCCATCTTCTTTAGTCTTTCCTGCTCTAACATGCAGGTTTTGAAGGTCGTCTACTGGCAGCCTTTGTCTTGCCTGAGAATCTGGGTGAAAAAATGTACTTTTATTTCCTTCAGAGGACATTTTTCCTACAACAATCAGACCTTTAGTGGTGAGCTGACCCTTTAAATAAAGTCATAAAAAGATTACAGCACATTTTCATGGCATATTTGCACATTTGTAACACTCTCACTTCTCAGCACTTTCTTTCTTATGGCTTTGGGGCTAGCTATTTTTACAGATGTCCTTAAAAATGTGATTGGGCCTCGTAATATGGCAACCCCTCCCATGCTGCTACACAGAATGTTGTGTGGTTTATCTCCACTCATTCATTCATTTTTACACAGTAGTTTTGGCATATAGGTTGATGTGGTCAATCTGCATCTGTTCAGATTGCTTCATGTTAATATCTTAAAGGTCCAGTGTGTA